TGGGCATTGCTGCTGCTGAGCCATCCCTGCCTGTGGCGTGGGCAGAGCCCCCCACCTGCCTGCACTGCTTCCCTCCGCTCCTGCCCAACGCCTGCCTCTTCCTCTCTCTGCAGATGGCAACAGCACATTCGTTCAAACCAAATCATCATACAGCTCCTCATCCAAGAAGGCAGGCAGGTGAGCGGTGGCGTTCCCCAAGGCCCAGCCCCAAGTGCTCCCTGTCAGCCGGCTGCTTGCACAAACCCTCTCTGCCCAGCTTGTGCTGTCCCCATGCAGGGATGTCCCCAAAGCCTCCTGGTCTTTGGGGCACGCTCACTGTCTCCAGTGGTCCCCATGGGTCCCTCCGTGGGCATGGAGGTGTTTCTGCCGGACAGGGACCTTAAGCTGCCCCTTTTCTGTCCCAGGAACATGGAAGTCTCCAAAGCTCCAGAGCTGGCAGTGGGGCCGAGGCCACCACATGCCCTTCCCCAGGCTGCCCGCAGCCGCCTTAGCTTTGTCTGTCTCTCTCCCAGCATCTTTGACCGTGAAGACGAAAGTGCCTCCAGGCAGAGCAGCCTGGCTGCACTGGAGCGGCGCCAGGCTGAGAAGAAGAAGGAATTGATGAAAGCTCAGAGCCTGCCCAAGACGTCGGCCTCACAGGCTCGCAAGGCCATGATGGAGAAGCTGCAGAAGGAGGGTGGGAGGTGAGGCTGGGCCAGGGGCAGTCTGGCTGGGGTGGCAAGCACTGTGTGGGTAACACCCCCCCATCTTCTGCCGCAGCTCACCAAACCCCGCGGCAGTACGCACTGCCGTGCAGCGCTCCTCCAGCTTCGGGGTGCCCAACGCCAACAGCATCAAGCAGATGTTGCTGGACTGGTGCAGAGCCAAGACCCGGGGCTACGAGGTGAGTACTGCCTCCTCTCCCTATCCCCAGGGCTGGTCGCTCTGCCCCTCGATAACTCTCCTGCCTTCACAGCATGTGGACATCCAGAACTTCTCATCTAGCTGGAGCGACGGCATGGCCTTCTGCGCTTTGGTCCACAACTTCTTCCCCGAGGCGTTTGACTACAGCCAGCTGAAGCCCCAGGACCGACGCCACAACTTCGAGGTGGCCTTCTCCTCTGCAGAGTACGTAGCTCTCGTGCTATCGCGTGGGCTGGGGGCGGCTCATGACCGCTCTCCCGCCCACTGCTGGGGGCAAGGGGGAACATGGGCAGGGGCGATGGCGCTGGAGGTGGGCGCCCATCACATCCCTCCCCCTGTGTCGTGCAACAAGGTTGGGGCCCTGGCGGGGGGGGAAGCAGTGGCTGGGTGGGCAGAGCCATGAGAAGCCAGTGCAGCCCAGTCTGGCAGGGTGAGGGTGGGCGTGGGGATCTGGGCTTCCTGGGTGGGGGCAGAGCACCAAAGGCAGGGCAGCGGCTCCCCAAGCGTGCCCAGCTGCAGGCAGATCCTGTCCTGGGGTGGTGGGTGCAGGACCGCAGCCCCTGGGGCGTGGGGTTTGTCCATGCCAGGTGCCTCCTTTCACAGTCATAGGGGCTCAAACACCGTCGCAGCTTCTCCAGTCTCTTCCCTTCCCCTTTTGCTTCTGGTTTTCCTGGGTGCTGAGAGACGAGGGCGCGTCCAGCTGGAGGGCTGGCAGCCAGCCCCTCTCTCCTTCCTTCTGTCTCTCTCCCACCCACTCCTCCTCCCCTCCAGCACCCTGCCCAGGGGCAGGGCCGGGTGGGTGGGGGGGTCCCATCCTGGCCAGTGCCTGGGGCAGCGGCGTGAGCTGGGAGCTCCTGCCAGTTCCCTGGGTGCCGCAGTGCTGTTCGGTGGAGCGAGAAGGGGGCCGCGTGCCTGGCTCTTGGCGCTCCTGGTAATGGACTTTTTGCCTTAATTGGGGAACCGGTGCGTGGACTTGAGAGCGCCATCGATCTCTCCAGCCTGGAAGCCAGGTGGCCTCTCGTCCTTCCTCCTCCTCCAGCTCTTGTGAGCGTCTTCTCCCGAGCTTCCTGCACCAGGGCTGTGCCATGCGGTTCCAAGCGGAGCTGGGCAGGAGGGCTGGCCTCGTCCCCCCATCCTCCCGGCGGGTCTATATAGGGGCTATATAGAGCGCCACTCCGCTCTGGAACCCGCTC